GCTAGAGCTTCGCGCCTCTTGTGTCGCATAAGTAGCGAGGAGGTTTGATGACGGATCAAATCTTTCGTCTCTTCCGATGCCTTTGGTAGTTGAACAACGGATTACAATGGCTGCAGTAAAGTCCATGGCTGCGGCACCTGTTGTATTAGAAGTGGCTCAACGTTCAAGGACTGCGAGTTGTGTGCTCGTGAGGGGTTTAGATGAAAGCTTATGGACAAGGACACCGGACGTCCGACAATGCACGCCCTTCGCCGATCCACCATCGGCGTCAGTTGCCTGCCTGAAGGCCGAATCCCAGACTCAGGCTCCAAGAAAGCCAACATCTACTCGCTGAAATATTCTCTGCTCCGCTGATCACATCTGCCCATGCGACGCCTCTCTCAGCCCTGATATGGCGATCGCCCTTTTAATGCGGACCAATAAAGAACTACTTTCATGAGACACAGCCAACAGCTGGAAAGGTACTTTGCTAGTATTTCTGACGTTTGTCTCTGTTTTAACAATGTCTTTGCAGTCGTCCCAGTCAAGCTTCTGAGAACGTGATATGATGGTGTTCAGACCAGTAGCGCCTCCTGGTCAAGCCATTTTCTCGTTGCCAAGCACGTGGAATCTCATGTCTTCACCGCGTCAAAAATACCTCGGGGTAACTATTTCGGCGTCATAAGGTTGGGACAACCTAACACAACTAAGTTTCTGAAAGCAAAAAACCGATATCGCTCCGGAACCAGAATAGAAGTAAAAGGCTGCGGTAGATGTCCCCCAATGAAATCTTCCGTCGACAAGTTAACTGAGTGAGTTCTATGACAGTTAACGGTGACAAACTGTCTAGATCAACCCAAGAAACTTTCAGCTGTCTTACCAGACATCGGGCCATATCCCCCGACGGTTTTCCCTCCACAAATTCTTAACATGACGGCAATACTAATTGTTAGGTAGAAATGACGAATTAATGGAGAAGCTTTCAAAACTCGATGATATTTGAAAACCCACGATTTACCTGTAATGTGAGTTCTTGAAATTCCGCACAGATAGCCTTTGTCCGCAATATGAATGCCCTTTTTAGTGTTGAAAACTCGACCATGCAGGGGAGTTGGCTGTTCACTTGACCTCAATGGCCAACATCTTACTAACCTTGCAGTCACAATCAGGGCGCTCTAAGATGTGCGGGATATGAGGCAAAGATCTAAACAAGCCGAGTCCAACGTTGGAGGTGAACGAAGAGCGTGCACTGCAGCTTATCTACGAATTTTACCATGACGACCAGTTGCCAACTGTCGTCTGTCTGCACTACCCTCCTTCCACTACGCCCATCATCAGTCTCTATTGGCGGATAATGGAGCCGGACAGTCCGGACTTAGGGTGGCACCGCTCGTGCTTGCCCTCCACATGGACGCCTTCCGTTGTCTATCCAACGTGAGTGATGGATTCTCGATAACGCTATGCACACATTCCACGATGTGGAATTTCCGCCGGGACGCTAACTGCCCCCCCCCCCTTTGATTATCCTGATGGCTAACGAGGCCTCCGAATAAATTATTTTGGCTATAAGCAGTAAATTAGTCTCAAACAGCTTTACGGACCAGGAGAATGTGCACTTCCAAATAAAAGATTGTCATCTTGGAGAGGTAAACATTTTCAAATATCTAGGAAGGAAGTTGAGTCGAATTCATCCAAGAACCCATTATTCTGGTAAGACTTTTAACGCCTGTGAATGTATCCACGACATTCAAGTCATTATAACGATCAGTTTGTGGCGGGCATCGTTCGGTCAGCCAATCACTCGTGTTGCGAATGCGAAGTGGCTGTTTTCGTTCACCCTTGCCGGATAATTATTCTCCGAACGAAATTCGCAAATTTCATCTCACATAAGACAGCTTGTATTCGCCGTAAAAGCGCAAAAATTACAGCCGAGGGAGTTTGCGAACTTTCTTTATTGTCGACCGTGGCATTTCGCTGGCACCATCTTAAATAAGACACCGCTGCATTAGTGATCATTAGAAGGAGGTAGGTAGTTCCCAACTTGACCTACAAGGGACCGAGGTACTTCTTGGATCTACAATATCTAGTCTTGCCGCTGCAGTCGACAATGATTCAGGCTATCCAGTTTTTCTGGCGCGAATTGTGAAGCTTCAGGGGGCACTAATTAGGCGTCAGATAGAGTCGCATTCGTATACTACACAGAATATAGCTAGAGAAGACGTCAGTCATTGGTGGCGTTCTTCCTCTACTCATGCCACCCAGAAGCCGAGTTGTGGTTCTGTGGCTACTACAAGAGCGGGAATTGCGTGTGCTTGTTGCCAAACAATAGCTCACTTTGTATCAAGTGCTTACGATGTGCATATGCTAGATCGAACGCCTGTCTCTCGGTTTCGGACATAGCTTAGCATCAGAAACAACGTATTGCAAACGAAATTGTACATATACTTCAGGAGGAAAGTCGTGGACTATTTCGACTAGAGAAAAGATAGGACTACCGGGACAAGAAGTTTATTGGTCTGGTGTTTCATTTCCGAATTCGTCATCAGAGACAGTCGCAAATAACGGTGATGGGGGCACAAGAAATGCAGTATTTATAGGGCGCAGTTGTCAGGCGACCACATACCTACTGTAATTAACATCGTTGTCGGGGGTGGTATTTGATGCGATGACAGCTTGTTAAACCGCACCGAATCGTTGATGACTGTGATTTCAGAACCGTGGTTGATAATTGCAGTGGTGATAATTGCAGTGAGCCGGTAGACAAGGTTGCTGAATGGCAATATCTTCGGCGGGACATAGAGCGAATGAGTTCCTGCACAACTTTGTCAGCCAGTGCATGCGTAAACGAGGCGAGTTACTCAGTTCAATCGTTCCCACATTTTGGCGAACGCTTCCCTACACAAAACGCGTCTGTGAAGCCGTTAGCCGCCTTCTCATACAACTTTGATTTGGAGTTGCACCCAAAACAGAAACAACTATCAGTGAACTATCAACCAAATAATGAGGCCGAAAGACCTGTGGCAGCCAGACATCATGACCGGTCTGGCGTCATTGTTCCAGACCTCGCTGCCTCAAGGTCATTCATCCCTTGCAGCGAGCCGTCCCAGACGAGGTGGCCTGAAGTCACACAACCAACAGCTCGGGCATACCTGCGTCCGCGCAGTCGCAGCTGCCCATGCGGCCACTTGAACGCGCCACCCCCTGCAACCAGCGGAACAAGCCACGGGGACACCACCCCTCGGCAAATGCAACGCACGCTGACTGGCCACCACTTGAGCTTGGCCTACGAGCCTACAAAAGCGGCTGCCACCACTATCTCAAGGACTCTCAGGCCTGACTGGACGCAGTCAACACCAGCCCTGGCTTCTCCAGTGGCCACTGTTGCCTGAGAGGACAACTCCGGGTTCTGTGCACAATAAACCCCTTATTCTGGTCCCCTTTGTCTTCTCCCTTCAAACATGGAATTTGGCCTGACGATTGTAGCTCACATGCTGCACATATTCTCTCTGCTGTGCTGCTACAGACCCGCTGCCATGGTGGGAAACGTCTGGAGTCGTTTGTCAGATCTGGTGCAGTTTCGGAAGAAGTAATTACGACACGAATAGCCGAACATGAGGCACCGGTGAGAAGGGATAACGATAACTTTCAGGTTGCGGCTCGTTCGACGGGAATCGGCCACACCTTCAAATTTGACAAGGCCGAAATTCTTGCAAAAGGCGACAACCGCGTGGGCCGCGAGCTGCTTATATCATGTTTTTCCGACCAGCAGTCGATTAACAAATGCAGTGACCTCTCACCTCTATATTCTGTGCTCAGACCTTGCCTGGGCAGAGTAATTAGCCACGCGGGGAGAGCGCGAGTGACCGACAGTTCCAGTGACAGCGAGCCAAGTGATCGAGTGAGAATCACGTCAAGAATCAACAAAGGTGATGAAATCACATCAATTATTGACTAGGGTCACATCAACTACGATCTCAAAACGTGAAAGCCGGTGCTGCTAATTATAGTAGGCAACTGCGCCCTACAAATGCTACATACCTTTTGCCCCCAGCACCCTTACTTGTGACCGCCTCTGATGATGGATTCGAATGAGAATCTGAAACGTCAGGCCAATTAACTTATTGTTCCACCGACCACGCCTTCTTCTGAACTGCTTCCTGGAACTTGCCACCGCTTCTATCGGTTTTCATCTACATTTTCGGGCAAACACCATGGCCTCAACAATGGCGAAAATACAAGCAATGATTCTTTGTTGAACATTGGGATACCACGTGGTAGGCATCGTAAGGCAAACAGTAACATGACGGCGCTTGAACCCGAGCACTTAGGTACATAGGACCAGCGACCTTTCCATTACATCACCAGGCAGCTGGGTTTCTTATAAATTTTGCAGACTGGGAGAGGAATTCAGATTGATTGTGATTTTTTCCACTTCTAAGTGTCACCGAAATGCGGCCCTTGTCTTATCGAAAACGCCTTTGCTTTTGTGTTTAGGTTTGCTCTTCAGCCCGTTTTGTCCACGGAAGATATTTGATAAAGTCAGTCCTCAGAGAACATTAAAATTGCGCCATGAATTTCTCTCGCGTTCCCAGGGCATCTTACTCAAACATCTCCCCGAAATTCGAACATTCCTAGCCACGAGTTCTAAAATCGCGTCCCATTGCGCTGTTATCTGTCCAAGGAGGTGAAGCATGGGTAGAACTTTGTTTCATTAATGAAGCCATCAGAGGAGGGGAAAACAATGAATTAGACGCACTGCATCTGACGGGAACACAGGTGCTGCATCAATCGCGAGCAAATTGGGCATCCCATTTATCGGTCGCTGTCGTGATCATATTTGACCTTATGCTGGGGTCAGAAGGACACGTGACACAGGTATCCCTCATCTTTTTACTTCGCAGGGGGTAGTTGACGCAGACGGGAGAGAGGGCCACCGCAGTCTCTGTTGCGAGTCCTGCAGGGGTGACGGGGAGGAGTGAAGGCGACTTGCGCAGCTGGCCATGATGTCACATCTTGGAGGCATGGTGATGTGGGCTGAGCCATCGGCGTCTCCGCCGCTTGCACGGTCACTCTGCATCCTGGCCGCCAGCAATGTCAACCGACTGCTTGTAAAGTTAGAATTCTGGTGTATACAGTATGTTGCAAAACCCTCACATTCCGGAGGTCAGTGAACCAAGTCCCACGCGCCGTAGTCATCTCGGCAACTGCCTGTCCATAAATCAGGTGGGCTCCGGTAGATTCGACTACCGCGTCGTGGCCTCGATAAGGCGGTAACCTGTACGTTCCCACGTATGTTTTCCTTTTTAGGGACACCTTTTACAGTCTACTTTACATTTTTTCATAGATGTTTTGGCAGATGTTGAATAATTCATATTGACACAACTTTGAAAAACTGGGCGCCTCCGTGGGATTCGAACGCACGACAGTAAAGGGAAGGCTTTAGCACAACCAACGATCTAACCACTTGGGCTATGAATTATTCAAAATCTACCAAAACATCTATGAATTACGTGAACCTGGTAGTCATCTGGTGGATTCTACATGCATTACTTAGGAAATCCTGCTTGGGAAATAAACTTACTGCATCAGATTTCGTGGATTCCAGATGACAGGATTACTCATTCGACAGAAGGAAACGTACCTCGTTTGTTTTCCCTCTGCTTGCAGCAATTATGGCGTGGCAAGGCACGTCCGTTTCGCTGCCCAGCTGCGCCGCCATCAGCAGTTGCATGTGTGCATGTGCAGTGGGGTTCTAACCCACTAGAACAAGAGAAAAAGTTGAGTACAGCCAACGCTATAGCGACCTGAGTTACTAGGTCCCAAGAGAGAGATAGAGAGAGAGAGAGAGCCGTGAATGCAATCACGGCATGACTGACTAGTGCGAATGTGGTGAGGTACTGGACTAATTTGCCTTCGAAAATTTAGTCCCATTTTCTTTGACCGGATTGCTTGTTTGAATGTGACGAGAAACAACACACCTGTACAACCCACCTTGCTAGCGTGCTCCGCCGTCATGCTCTGTTGTTAAGTTGCTTAACGTTCAAAATCTCTATATCATTCACTGCTCAGTCTTACTTGGTGCATTTAAGGCTAGGAGTTCATGAGATATAAATCGTTAGTTCGTGAGTACATTATAATTTGCGTCATTGGTGACTCCCGACGTTAACGCAGACTTCATACCTTTCTATGTCGTACTGAGTAACATTTAACGTGCTATTTGTTTGCGAAGATCCATTCCATTTACATTTACCTTCCTCACAAATTCTGATACTTTACCATCTCTGTCTTACTATGTCTCACTCCAACCAACAACTTGATGTCCCCGCCCAGTCCCTTCATGCCATCAATATTACCTTGCCTGAATTCTGGCAACACGCTCCAGAACTTTACTCCATCCGCATAGAATCAGCCTTTTATTCTGCTAACGTTACCAAGGAGTTGACGAAATACCACAAACTGGTGGAGGTCCTACCCGCTAGTGTCATCTCTCAAGTTCACTCCTTGTTATCAAGTCCTCCTGCAGATGCTCCCTACTCCACGTTAAAGGAAGAAATTCTCTGACTTAATTCTGTGTCCGACCGACAGCGGTACCACCAGTTACTTAAGAAGGAGTCACTGGGTGACCGGAAGCCCTCTGAGTTTCTACGTTGAATGCGTTCTCTCCTTGGGGACATGCAGGTTGACGATAAATTCGCCAAGGAGATGTTCCTAGAGCGTCTGTCCGCAGATGTTTAAACGATCCTGGCGTCTGGCTCTCAAGATCTCACGGTATCACAGCTGGCTGAGATGGCGGATCGAATGATAGAGATGCAGCGGTTCCAGTCACCTTCCGTTGCCCAGATCTCATCCTCATCGTCAGTGAATGAGCAGTTAATGAAACAGGTGTCGGCCATTGCGGATGAGATGACCTCCCTTAATATACAGCTCGCCCGCCTTACTTCCAGTCGCTCACGCAGCCATCGTCGTTCTCGTTCGCGACCTCAGACTGCCGATACTTGTTGGTATCACACTAATTTCGGCGTAAAGGCCCGTCGCTGTTCCTCTTTTAATCCGAAACAGGGAGATCAGTCAGCCAGAGAATAGATGTGACCGTTTTCTCTGGCCCTTCCGGCTCTGGTCGCACCTTCTGTGTTTGCGACACTGCGACTCGTAGAAGTTTCCTGGTGGACACTGGAGCCCAAATCAGCGTTGTTCCCCCAACTGCAGCTCATCGTCGTTTCCCTAGCCTTAGTCTTCACCTGCAAGCTGCCAACTGTTCCCCCATTCCCACTTTTGGCAGTCTGTCCCTCACCCTGAACATTGGCCTTCGTCGGTCATTCACCTGGATCTTTGTGATTGCTGATGTCCCTCATGCAATCCTCGGCTTGGACTTTCTTGCTGAGTTCGATCTCCTTGTTGACTGCCGACGTGCCCGTCTCCTCGACCGCACAACCGGTCTGTTTGTTCGTGGACAAACTCCCTTTGCTATCCCCACCAACTTATCTGTCTTGGATACGGATATTGCTAGTCATTTTCGGCAACTGTTTCTTAGTCACCCCAACATAATCAACCCCCTGTTTCTCATTAGTGAGGTTCAACATGATGTTGTGCACCATATCCGCACCTCAGGTCCTCCCGTGTTTGCTCGACCGAGACGACTAGCACCGGAGCTTTTCCAGGCCGCGAAGGCGGAGTTTGAACACATGCTGCAACTGGGAATAATTCGACCGTCCGAGAGCCCTTGGGCGTCCCCACTGCACATGGTGCCCAAGGCAACATCAGGCGACTGGCGACCCTGTGGCGACAATCGTGCCCTCAACAGCGCTACCATTCCTGATCGGTACCCCGTGCCTCATCTTCAGGACTCTGCTGGAGCCCTTTTCGGCAAAGCGATTTTCTCGAAGATTGATCTGGTGCGTGCTTTTCATCAGATTCCAGTCGCCCTCGAGGACATCCCTAAAACCGCCGTCACCACATCCTTCGGTCTCTTTGAGTTCATCCGCATGCCGTTCGGTCTTCGTATTGCCGCCCAAACGTTCCAGAGGTTCATCGACCATGCCTTACGTGGCCTACCTTTTTTGTACGCCTACATTGATGACCTCTTAGTAGCCAGCCGGAATGAAGAAGAACACAAAGAGCATCTTGCCTTCGTGGTTGACCGTCTTGACAAGTTTGGCCTTGTCATCAACCCCTCCAATTGTGTGTTGGGTGTGCCTTCGCTCCAGTTTCTCGGCCATCAGGTTGACTCTGAAGGCCTGCGTCCCCTCCCCACCAAGGTTGAAGCAGTTCGTAATTTCCCTCCACCAACTTCCAAGCGACAGTTGCAGCGATTCCTCGGCAAGGTCAATTTTTACCGCCGGTTCCTACGGAGCTGTGCTGATCTCATGCTGCCGCTCACCAACATGCTTTCTGGTCCCAAAGGTCCGCTCGAGCTGACTGATGAAGCACTGACTGCTTTTGAGATAATTAAAAATTCTCTTGCCGATGCCACCTTACTTACGCATCCCGCTCCCGAAGCTCAGCTGTCTTTGATGGTAGATGCTTCGACCGTAGCCGTAGGTGCAGTCCTTCAACAACACCTTGCTGGTTCGACTCAACCACTTGCCTTTTTCTCCAAAAAGCTCTTACCAGCCGAGACACGCTACAGTACCTTTGGCCGTGAACTACTTGCCATTTACCTGGCTGTGAAGCATTTCCGGCATTTCCTTGAAGGTCGGGACTTCACTCTTTTCACTGACCACACACCGCTGACTTTTGCACTTCGTTCCCACTCCGACAAGTACAATCCGAAGGAAATCGCCCACCTGGACTACATCTCCCAATTCACCACCGACATCCGCCACATTGATGGCACGAAGGATGAGGTGGCTGATACGCTGTCCAGACCCTCACTGTCTTCCCTCCAACTCTCACACGGGATCGATCTTTGCGCCATGGCAGCTGAGCAATAGCGAGTCGGTTGTCCTGGTGACGAGTCTGTTAGTGGTCTCCAACTCAAAGACGTTCCTCTGATCACCGGCTCTGGTACCATACTTTGTGACGTCTCAACTCCCATTCATCGCCCTTTTGTGTCCGCCTCGATGCGTCGAGCTGTATTTCAAACTCTGCATGGACTCGCCTACCCTGGGATCCGAGCCCCTCAAAAACTCCTCGCGAAAAGGTTTGTCTGGCCTGGCATAAACAAGGACGTCAAAGCTTGGGCTCGGTCGTGTCTGAGCCGCCAGCGCAACAAGGCGCAGCGTCACAACAAGTCCTCACCAGGCACTTTCCCCAGTCCTGACGCACGGTTCAGCCATGTGCACCTGGCTGTCGTAGGCCCCTTGCCCCCATCCAATGGTTTCACTCACCTCCTTACCTGTGTCGATCGATATACCCGCTGGGCTGAAGCTACTCCTTCGCCGAAGGTGCAGGCTGAAACCATCGTGAAGGCCTTCGTCAGTCGTTGGGTCGCCATGTTCGGTGTCCCATCCACGGTTACGACTGATCGTGGTGCCCAGTTTGAGTCGGCACTCTTCCAAACACTTCTCAATTTCCTTGGCTACACATGCATTCTGACGACAGCCTACCACCCAGCTGCTAACGGTATGGTTGAGCTTTTCCATCGCCAGCTAAAGACTGCCCTGCGTGCCATAGAAGACCCAGGAAACTGGTCGGACAACCTTCCTCTTGCACTCCTCCGCATCCGCGCAGCTCTGAAGTTGGATCTGGGCTGTAGCACAGCTGAATTGGTTTTCGGCACTATTCTCCGACCGCCAGACGAGATGACCACCCCAACCTCTCGTGGGGCCGACAAGACTCCTGACAATCTTGTGCACCGTTTGCGGCAGTTTATGCGCTCGCTTTCCCCAGTTCCACCTCGAGCTCCAATGACTGAGTCTTATGTCGAAATAGACTTGGACAAGTGTACTCATGTGTTTGTCCGGTGTGACCGTGTGCGCCAGTCGCTAGAATCACCATACGAAGGACCGTTCCGCGTGCTCCCACGCAACACCAAGACCTGCCGGATTTTTCCCGGTGACAAGGAGGACGTGGTCAGTGTCGATCGGGTCAAGGCTGCTGTTGCAGAGGAGCCGTCGGACCTGTCACAAGGACAAAAATGTGCTGACCCCCTAACCCCTGTTCCTCCATCTTCCCTATCCCCATGCTCATTCACCTTGCCCACTGCCTCTCCCTTCCCCTCCCTTGCCCTCTACCCTTCCGTCCCGCAAAGTTCCTCTCCCTACATGTCTACAGCATCCAGCTGCAACATCATCCCCCACCATAGCACGCAGTCAACCCTCTTCGACTGTACCTCCTGCTTACATCACCCGCAGTGGCTGTCACGTTCATTTTCCCGATCGTTTAGTTACGCATTTTTTCTAGACTCATGCATATCCTCCGGCACCGTATTACGTCGCCCTCCGGTCTAGTAGGGGGGTACTGTGGTGAGGTAACGAACTAATTTACCTTCGACAATTTAGTCCCATTTTCTTTGACCGGATTGCTTATTTGAATGTGACGAGAAACAACACACCTGTACATCCCGCCTTGCTAGCGTGCTCCGCCGTCATGCTCTGTTGTTAAGTTGCTTAACGTTCAAAATCTCTATATCATTCACTGCTCAGTCTTACTTGGTGCATTTAAGGCTAGGAGCTCATGAGATATAAATCGTTAGTTCGTGAGTACATTACCATTTATGTCACGACATTGCCGTTTCTGAGTTACGCAGGACACAGATAACTTACTATATTCCCGACGGCTCACGCCATCAGTCTACTATGTCATCCCCCAATAACTACTGCCCAGCTAGCTTTTTCATGCCAAGGTTAGATTCAGAACATGATCCACTCGCCGGTCATACGCGATTACAGCACTAATTCTTATTGGCATCCTTTCAACAAACATGGCAACCATTATGAAAGGACTGTTTTCCGTTGGTGAGAGGGCATCTTAGGGGCCTGATAAGATATAAAGCACCCTAAGTACTAGCAAATGTGACCGACGGTCCTAAACACGTTGAATCAACTGGGTCAATGAAATGAATGGACGCTGGGATCTGTTGTTTATGACTGGGCAGGGTTTAGTTGGGGAGACAGTGCATTGCCATTCTAAAAGATGCCTTTTGGCACGAATCTTGACAGCGTCAACGACCGATAATAATATCGCCATTATAATGACTATCATTATTAGTATTATCTTGCGGAGCGCCAGTTCACAATGCCCGATGTATACTACATTTGTGTAGCTTCAAGGAGACAATGTATAGTAACCACCAATACTATGCTACATGGGTACCCTGTTGCAGGATGAATGTGTCCTTTCTGTGATTGGAGTTGCGTAAATGCATTGAATGCGTTGTGCGCCCTCGTGACTAGATGTAATATGATCTACTTCTTTGTAAAAACAAACTGGAAGAACTGCGAAAAATGTTCAAATCTGGTTGTACTGTCAGATATCTTGGTGCCCTCATAATTCATCGGAGGATCGGGTTCCTGTTACGCGTGCTCTTTTGCAGGTTGCTGTAGAGAAATTTGGCGCGAGGACACAGCATACCACCTCAGCATCTATTCCAAATGTTTACCTACTATCGCACTCTTCTTTCCGCCGTTTAGTCCCACCCATAAAACCCGTATTACACACCGACCTGGTTTTTTTGCATCCTGAGTGGGGTCGCATGCTGCGTCCTTGCCGAAAAACCTCCCATAAATTCAATGCCAAGACCTTTCTTGTTAAAGCCCGTGAGATGCACATAAGTATGTCTGAACTAGTTTATCTGTTCTTTTGGCCAGAGGTTTACTTGGCAAAACTGCTCTTGAGCTTTTTTTGCGAAAACCAAAGTTTGATCGCGTACACCGAGCGATGCATGGGGCGACCATCACAGGTCTTAGGATGAATAGCTGATTCCACGCAAGGAGATTGGAAGATTACTAATCATCTTGGGTAAGGCCCACTGAGGATGGCGACAGTGACGGAGGCACTCTTGCCAGTTCACTGCTTGCGACGCATATCATTCTGCCTTCGTCAGGCCGACACCGTGGCACCGATCGATATTTTTCCTCCAACTATTGGCCACGACCAGACAAAGCCCAGACGCAGGTGCACACCCCGTGCCGGACCAGACAACATCGAAGGCTGACGCTTGGTTTGCTGTAAATATTGCTAGCACCGAAGCCTGGGTCGCTCGTACGCTCCCTTGCTGAACTACGGTAACATGGGGACATTCGCTGAACTAAAGTTGTTTCTCTGACTTCTGACTCGGGAAACTGGTCGTTGCCGACTGTCTCACTTCGACAGCGTCGATGATCAGCAGAAAATCAGTAGTGGCACACGTACATCACACTACGAATTTTGAATTATATTAAAAAAAGAACTTGGCAATGGGCATGGACCAATCGGGGATATTGTCTTCCGGCGCACTATAAGTTCTCCAATGGCATATCTTTGAGGCTGGTCCAGAGATGAGTCACTCTGATAAATACTTTGAAAGAATGTCTTCGCGGATGTCAGAAATCGTGCTTACGAAAGCTTTGAATTGGAATCCTTTTACTGAATCGAAATGGTTGATAAATAAGTTAAACGTCGTAAAGCCAAACGAAGGTGAACAGTGGGTATTATACTGCACATGTATTGCTCTCGAAGTATTACTATTGCATGGCGGTACCATAAGCCCTAAGCAGTCGTGGATGGACTAGACTGCTCAGTGGGTACCGACTGCGATTGACAATAAAGTCAAGGTGCCCAGTAAGATTTTGAGGGCAATTAACTCATACATTCAGAACGATTACTCCAACTTAATCCGAATACTGTTGCAGTCGATTTTTACATGAAAAAAGTACTCATAGGCGTACATATTTTGCGCCTGCCTCATAACCCGTTTCTGTCGCTAATAATATCGTTCTCCGAGCTGAACATGCACCCTCCTCCGACCTAAACCCAGAACCCCTAATTTGCTTGAAGCTGTTCAATAGTACGGCGCTGGTTATCTTGAACTAGCAAAAACATCTCCCATGGTACGCTGATAAACTGACTCCTTATTGTTACACTTCGGTAAAAAAAAACTAAAAAGACATCCCAACATCTCGTTAATTATGTGAATTCAAAACAGCAAGCGAGGATCTTAGAGAACTCATAGCCGAAAAGATCCAAGGTCAATCAAGGGTAAAACATATAATGATCAAGGGCACACTGGATCCTTGTAGTAAGGGGTCAAAGGAGAGGAGTTATCAAAAAGTTAGCGATACGAAGACCTCCATGTCGTTGTCAGCCGGGGGCCTTGTAGAGGAGGACTGCGATATCTCGAAGAAAGAAGTAGATGAAGGTCTGGGGACAGTGCGAAACGTAACTGGAGGGGAAAAGGCGAAAAATTATGAGATCTATTTGGAGAAGTGGTAGGCCCAGCAGAGCTATTTAAAGAGAAGTGAATCTTTCTAGGGAATTGAATTGAGACTTTACAATGCCAGACTTAATCCACTAACCTAAAGCTGAAATGCTGATTCTGACGCTGACTACGAGCGAACTTTTATTCCTAAATGTGACCGACCACGCTTTTTGCGCCGCAGCCTCAAACTAATTCGCCTTGTTTGGGAACATTGGGGATAGCATATCTATATCAGAGGGCAATTAGTGCATAGTTAAAAGGAGGACCGGTTGAAAGACCGGACTCTTAATAATGCAGTTAGACCTTTGGACCTACGAAAATTTACCAAATGAGTCACTCAAGTAGGTCGATAGAACAAAATTTCGTTGGATTATCTCAAACTGTGCCTCTGGGTAATAAAGTACAAAGTTGTGTCCGAAAAACCTGACAACGTACTGAGATATGCATTTGTAATGAGGGGGGAAGTCTGGCTCCACCTCACAGAGCAGTCGATATGCACACTTTTCTCATTTGGTGACAGAAAATACTGTAGAAACGGGCAGGTACTTTTTTAAATTACAGCGGACATGATAAATTGGCAGGGCTACACTAGTGCACGAATCTTAATGACCATAACCAGGCCCATCTCACAGCTATCAGATGTTAAAAATGCCCAGGGAGGGGGTTTCTTCTGCACAGAACTCCGAGTTTTCGGCGGGGGATATGCGCTGACAGCATTACTTTATGCGTGGGGATCGACCCCCGATAAAGGTCCGGGGAGCGAGGTCCAGGACCGTTTGTCCTCGTGTGCGCGTGGTACGTCACGTTAGGCTGTAAATTTTCAGATGTGTGTGTGTGTTCGTACTGAAGCCATTGGAGGCGATTAGTTGTACAGTCAGGCCAGCGCGTTTGGGCATGCTCACGACAGCGTGCGTGCGCCCGAGACTTGGACAAAGAGGGTTATTGGTGGAGGTCGGTTACACCCAGTCCCAGACACGTGTCGAAATGAGGCGTCAATAGTGGAGCGTGCGATGGTTGGGTTGGGTTAGTACACTCGTGGATCTGGTAGTGCGTCGATTATTGTGACCTCTTGTTCGAATTGACGCGCATAATTTTATACTGCGGTCGGTACGGAGGTTCAGATAGGGTGGAAAACGGCGAGCGTGACAGTGAGTTGCCACTTCGGTACTAGAGGTTTACACGTCCGGAATCACGCACCCTGCTCAAAGAGGAATTTCCTTATCGACTGGTTGTGGCGGCCAGCCATCATGACCGGTTTGGCGTCATTGTTTAATACCTCGATGTCCCAAGGTCATTCACCCTTTTGCAGTGAGCCGTTCCAGACGCGCTGACCTGCAGTCACACGACCGACAGCTCGGGCACACCTGCGGCCGCACAGCCGCAGCTGCCCATGCGGCCACTTGAACGCACCTCCCCCCTGCGACCGCAACCTAAGCCACTGGGGTACCACCCCTCGGCAAATGCAACACACACCGGGCTAGATCGCAGTTGGCTGCCAGGCCCCGTATTACGGGTGGCTGGGGGGTTCGTTTACTGGGGCTATTTTGTGGGGTTCCATAATCACATCTGATCCATTTGGCTTCCGTTTTACGTTTGAGGTTAGGGTTAGGGTACCGGTTAATGATTTTCGATTTTCGGGTTAGGGTTATGCCTTTAGGCTTAGGTTTTCGGGTTACGGGTTTGAGCGTACGATTAGGTTTCAGTATTACGGTTAGGTTTTCCAGTTAAGGGCTACGGTTACGTTTACGATTTTGGTTAGGGTTAGGGTTGCCGTTAGGGTTAACGGTTAACGTTTAAGGTTGAGGTTAGGGTTAGGATTAGGGTTAAGGTCGCCGTTCGATTCCCCATTCCTGGCTACCAACTGCGATCTAGCCCACACACTGACTGAACACCTCTTGAGCTTGGCCCACAAGCTTACAAAAGCGGCTGCCACCACTATCCGAAGGACTCTCAGGCATGACTTCGCCGGTGGCCACTGCCACCTGAGAGGACAACTCTAGGTTTTGTATACATTAACCCCCTCATTCTGGTGCCTTCCGTCTCCTTATGACT